AAGTGGGCACTTATGTTCATAAAGATTCCATGACATTGTTTTATTATTTTACCCCCTAAGGCAGAGGATGAAACTAAGACTGGGAGAAGCTAGGTAAATTGTGCTGGTTTGGAGATGGAATTTAAATCTAGGTGCCAACACCTTTGTGCCACTTCCTCTACTGCTTTCAGTTCCTACAGGATTGGAAAGAGGGAGTCGTTTGAATAGGAAAACAAGAAACATGCTCAAACTGGCTTCCTAGGCAAAAGACATTTTTGAAGTTCCTTTTTGCAGCTCAGACCATTTTCTTTTAACCCAGAAAGTAAAGGTCAAAAGGATCCTTAAGATTTGAGAGTCAGAACCTTAAGATTGAATTTGGCAACTCTACAATTGATTTGGGAATTTTTGGCATGAAAGTGGGTTTTGAGGACATAGTGTTACAGAACAAACAAGGGGAGCCTGGGACGATATACTATTACTGAAAGAAACCCCCAGGTCCATTATGTCTGCCGTCTATAGGAAAGATGTCTCTCAATGCCAGAGATTCGTGAAAAGGAAAGGAAATGTTTATTTAATGCTATACAAACCTAAAGTAGTGACCTAATGTCTTCATCAAAAACCCTAAAGCCCATTAAAACACCCACAAACAGACACAGTCCTTAAATTGATCTATTTTTGACTATCTGACTTTGTGATGTGAACTTCTATGGTGGGAGGCCTTTGAGGTTCAGTGGATCAGTCTCCTTGAGCATCTGAACTTGATGCTCTTGGGATATCTTTTATGCCTCTTATGCTGATTATCTAGATGTAATTTGGTTTTGATTGTTGTTGGGTGTTTCTTTGGTGGGCCCTTCCTTCCAAGTGTTTGACTGAGGTTCAATCTTCCCACATCTTGTGTGCAGTTGTGCAGGTGTGGTCTGAACAAAACCACAGAGCTGAAGAAACAAACCCACACCTGCAACCCCCCCACACACAATCCCATTACAATTAGCAAATTAAACAGGATTAATAAGGGTCTAACAAGATTAAGACTACTATAAGAAAGGAGAGTGGATTGAGATGACCTATTGAAAGAGAAATGATTTTGAGAGGGTAGAGGGAGGAACACTAATAAGAGTTGAGAATTGAGCAATGGAAAGAGAGAAGGTAAATTTTACCTCATGTATAAAAAAGGAAATGAAGAATGTGGAATGGAGTATGAGAAAGGAAGCGTATCATATTAGGTCTATACAGAAATTAAAATAATATAAAATTCAGCAAAGTGATAGAAAGAAAAAAGAAGGTAATAATTAATAATTGATAAACATATAGGAGCCAAATGGGAGAGAAATATCCACTGGAGTACTGTCAACAAGAAACAAACTAAAATTAATATAGGTGGTATTGGAATAAGAAGGAAAAAAAGAAACAAAGAAAAGCCTAAGAGGTGGTTTGGTTGTGCAGAGGGGAAAAGTATATATACTTACATCTACAGCTTGGCTGGAAGACCTATGTATATATATATTTTTAAAAAGACCATGGTTTTCCTGGCTGGTGTAGCTCAGTGGATCAAGCACAGGCCTGTGAACCAAAGGGTTGCCAGTTTGTTTCCCAGTCAGTGCTCATGCCTGGGTTGTAGGTCAGGTCCCCAGTAGGGGTCAAGCAAGAAACAACCACACATTAATGTTTCTCTCCCTCTCTTTCTCTCTCCCTTACCCTCTCTATAAAAATAAATAAATAAAATCTTTAAAAAAAACCATTTAAAAAAATAAAAAGACCATGGTTTGGGACATGCTGAAAGCCTGTAACACATATGATTATTCTCATTCTGTTTACACCACTACCTGATGCTGTGGCCAAGGGCAAATCTATCCACTTCTCTGTTTTGACTGTGTTTCATTCCAACGTGAGGAATTCAAGTGAAATGCAACATAGTGGTAATTTCCAACAGCTTTAGTCACTAAAATGTATTTGTCCAACTGATGCTGCTTAATATTGGTTTCTGGCACATGTTCCCCAAGGCTCAAAGCATGTCAAGGGGCATGTGTCTTAGGCGCATTTCTGGAGTTGATGGCTAATTTGGGGTCAGCAATCACAAATAAAAAAGGCACTTACTCTTATGTGTAGAATAGAATACTGACACTCACCTATCATTTGATTGATATTTTACCATTCACAGTGTACCTTCTTTGAGCCTCAGAGAAAATGTATGATTCAGCAACATTCTGCTGTGTGGTATCAGAGCAAGAAGCTTCACAAACTTTCTTTCTGCATGTCTAGGCTCCTAGAGCATTTGGAGAAAAACATCTGCACACAGAATTAATTCATTATTAAAGTGTAGTGATTAACAGTTCAATTTGGAGTCACTTAGAAGAATGGCCCATAAAATGAATGTGAGGCGAACATAATGAGAAACTCCCAGAGCTAAGGCATCAATTGAGGGCAAACTGAATACCATGTTCAAAGAACAGCCCAGAAACTGTCTGTAGCATAGAAGAGAAGTGCTGCCAGAGTCTCATCAGGAGTGAGTAATGGAAAGCCAAGCTGGAAAAAACCAAATATTTGGGAAAGAGAGAATTATTATTTATGTGTCCTATGCATTAGGGAACTGCTGGAAGTTTAGACATAAAAGGGTAGGTAAGTGTTTCATTCACTTAGAATGAATCAATTTGTTGTATCTTGTTATCTTCTACATGAGAAGGAAATGTAAGGGATATTTGGAGAGAAAAGACCCCTCAAAAACACACTTACCCTGACCAGTGTGGTTCAGTTTGTTGAGTGTCATCCCACAAACCAAAGAGTTACCAACTTGATTCCTGGTCAGGGCACATGCCTGAATTGTGGGCCAGGTCCCCACTGGGTATATGTTTCTCTCACACATGGATGTTTCTCTCCCTCTCATTTGCCTTCCCTTCCCCTCTCTCTAAAATTAATTTAATAAAATCTTAAAAGAAATAAAAAAAAAACTCAATGAAAGCTATGGATTTTTCCAAGCTACTAGTATCTTATTTGTGGTTAGGTTTTCTCTTAGCTTCTTTTTACAAAAGAATTTATTTATTTATTTTTAGACAAAGGGAAGTGTGGGAGAAAGAGAAGGAGAGAAACATCAATGTGTGGTTGCCTCTCATACACCTACTCCCACACCAGGGACCTGGCCCAAAACCCAGGCACGTGCCCTGACCTGGAATCAAACCAGCAATCCTTTCTGTTCACAGGCTGGCACTCAATGCACTGAGCCACAACAAGCAAGGCTCTCTGAGCTTCTTGAATTCATGTTGTGGGTTTCAAAATTCTATTCTGAATTCAAATTTTTACTTTTCTTCAAAGGACTAAGAAGTTACCAATATGCGTTAAACAAAGAGAAAATGCACCAAACTTGAGAAAGAAAATCAAAAGACAGTAAAGTAGGAATGTTCACATTTATTCACTTGCATGGAGCTTGACTCATTTTCTAAGTAAATGACACATTGATCCTACTCTGTAATTTAGGCTTTTTGTGCCTGAAAGTTGTCATCTGTAAAGTAGGGCTGTAATTAGGATTAGATGAGTCAATGTATATAAAGTACTTGGTACAGTGGGCAAACTGCATAATTATTAAATGTTAGCTATTGTTCATATCCCAGTGAGTACTGTGGCTTCTATAAATCCTTAAAAAACAATGGTCCTTGAACACAATGAACAAGAACTTTTTAGGGGTTTGTTAGGTCCGCTAAACTTGACCATCCTTGCCTTTCCTTCGCAGAAATCTTAGCTAGCTAAAATTATTGATCCAGGTAGCAAGATCCACACTTCAACATGACTGATCCTGCTCACTAAAAATTTCCAGAAAGTAATCATTTCAGGCTGAAATTGCCCATGCTTACTCTCAACCTAATGGAAATGTGCTTGCATGAAAGATAGGGGCAAAAGCCATTTCTTGCTTTGGGGTGACTGGAATTGAAGAACAAATATAATTGTTTTCCTATCTCAATTTTTGCCTTTTAGCTGAACTTTTAAAAATTACTAAACATTATATATTTAAGCTTCCCTTAGCCCTGAATATAAACAGCTACCTGCTTTGAAGCTCTTGTTATTTTTTAAGATCTTTTCAATTTCCCTTGAGACAAAGTGGTCTGAAGTTGAAAATTTGTCCTTTTTTAATATTCAAGTTTTTCAGCTAAAATGCTATACATGATTTTTCTCTTAACTTCATAACACATGCTACAGCTCTGAGGTGCTGGTAAAATGAGTTTGGAAAGTATTTTCAACAGAATTAAATGCCAAAAGCCCTATACTCTATCCACTTAGTGTATGCAACGACAGGACCTTTTCTTCATGATGACAAAACATTCAGATGATGTGTCTGAAAATGTCAATCTCTCCCTTTCCAGACTGAGCAGGACTTCCAGTCCCTAACCTGGTGCCCACCACAATGGATGTATTAATAAATGAATGAATGAGTGAACAAATGGGCATTGTGTAGACCAAATAAAGCAGATGGTTTAATGAATATTTTACTTTTCTGGATATTTCTTAGAAATGTTATAAGGTTTCTTTCATTATAACTATTTTATTTCTCAAACACAAAGACTTATTTCTTTGTCTGTATCACCATCAGCTATCAGTAGCCAAGTTATATAAGTATTGGTAATATATCTTCAAACCCATGATCACTCAGTTGTAACTGTTCACTGTATAGCAATCATGGTCCAACCTTGCCAACAATAAGTGACTGTGAAATGAGACTTTTCTAAGCTCCTTCCTCTCTTCCACACTCTCCTAACCCCAAAATATGCTCTAATCTAAATTAGGAAATATTTGGATAGAAGACAGGACTTTAGGAGGGGAGATATTTGATACAAAAAAGCAGCACTCAAGCACTTCCTTTAACTTGATTCTGGGTCAGAGCAACCACCAGGTTTTGTAAACTCTCAAGAATTCAGAAATAATGGCCCAGAAAACTTGCATTCCATTCACACTTCTACATTGACAAATATGAGTTCTATTGAGTCTTAAGCTTCTAAAATGTAAAAATCATGACATTTGCTTCCTTGTATTCTCAGGATCCTCAAATGTGTTTATGAAAGGAAGGAAAAAGAAATGAGTGGTTAACTCCTACAACTACAAGAACTGGAGGAACAACAACAAACAAAGCCTACAGAGAGTAGAAGGAAAGACATAACCAAAATCAGAGCAACATTAAACAACGTGGAGACTAAAACAACAATCCAAAGGATCAATAAATCCAGGAGCTGGTTCTTTGAAAAGATAAACAAAATTGACAAGCATTTAAGCAGATTTGTCAAGGACAAAAGAGAGGATCAAAATAAATAAATTCAGAAATGAAAGAGGAAAGATTACAACTGATAACACAGAGATACAGAGGATTGTAAGAAATTACTATGAAGACCTGTTTGTATCTTCCTTAATTTCCTTTTCACTGTTGTGTAGTTTTCTGAGTACAGGTCTTTTACCTTCTTGGTTAGGTTTATTCCTAAGTATTTTATATTTTTTGTTGCTATATCAAATGGGATTTTTATCCTGATTTTTGTTTCTAATATTTCATTGCTGGTATACAAAAATGCCTTTGATTTCTGAATATTGACTTTGTATTCACTGTTTTGTCAAATTCATTTATTAGGTCAAGTAGTTTTTTCGGTAGAATCTATAGGATCTTCTATATACACTATCATGTCATGCAAACAATGAAAATTTTGCTTCCTCCTTTCCAATTTGGGTGCCTTTTATTGCTTCTTCTTCTCTGATTGCTGTGCGTAGAACTTCCAATACTTTGTTGAATAGAAGTGGTGAAAGTGGACTTCCTTGCCTTCTTCCTGATCTTAGTGGGAACATTTTTAGTTTTTGCCATTTGAGTATGATGTTGACTGTAGGTCTCTCATATATGACCTTTATCATGTTGAGGAATGCTACTTTCTCACTATTCCCACTTTGCTGAGTGTTTTCCCCCCATAAATCGGTGCTGTACCTTATCAAATATGTTTTCTGCATCTATTGATATGATCGTGATATTTTTGTCTTTCAATTTGTTTATGTGATGTATTATGTTTATTGATTTGTGAATGTTTTACCACCTTTGTATCCCTGGGATTAATCCTACTTGATTATGGTATATGATCTCTTTAATGTAGAAAGGGTCTATGGACAAAATCAAAGAGGGGTAGGATCAAAGCGGGGAGGGGGAGGGCTGAGGTGGAGAGAATAGTGGGAGTAAAATGGAGACAGCTGGACTGGAACAACAATTAAATAAATAAATAAAAAGAAATTACCACAAACAACTATATGCCAAGAATTTGAAAACCAGGGTAATGGACAAATCTCTAGAAAAATATAATCTTTCAAAAATGAAAGAAAAATAAGTAGAAAGCCTGAACAGACCAATAACAGCTGTTGAAATCAAAGCAGTAATAAACAAAACTCTTGGAACACAATAGCCCTGGACCTGATGGTTTCATAGGAGAATTTTACAAAACATTTAAGGGAGAGCTAATCCCTATTTTTCTCTGACTACTACAAAGAATCCAAGAGGAGGGAAGACTCCCAAACTCTTTTTTACAAAGCCAACATCACCCTAATTCCAAGACCAGATAAAGAAAACTGCTGGCCAATATGGCTAATGAACATAGACACAAATGTGCTCAACAAAATATTGGCAAACCACATCCAGCAATATGTTAAAAAGATCATACAGCATGAACAAGTGGGATTCATGTCAGGGATACAGGGATGATGCAACATTCATAAATCAATAAACATAATACATCACAGACAAAAATAGAAAGACAAAAATCATATGATCATATCAATAGATGCAGCAAAAGCATTTGATAAGGTACAACACTAATTTGTGATAAAGACACTCAGCAAAGTGGGAGTAGAAGGAGCATTCCTCAACATGATGAAGGCCTTATACGAGAAACCTACAGCCAGCATCATACTCAATGGGCAAAATTAAAAGCTTTCCCATCAAGATTAGGAATAAGAACAAGCATGTCTGCTTTCACCACTTCTATTCAATATAATATTGGAAGTCCTAGCCACACTGATCAGACAAGAAAGCGAAATAAAATTCATCCAAATTGGAAATGAGGAAGTAAAACTGTTACTGCTTGCAGATGATATGATCATGTACATAGAAAACCCTATAGACTCCACCCAAAAACTATGACCCAATAAGTGAATTTTTCAAAACACCTAGATACAAAATCAATATTCAGAAATCAAAGGCATTTTTATACACCAACAATGAAAGATCAGAATCACAAATCAAGAAAAAAAAAATCCCATTTGCTGTAGCCACAAGAAAAAATAAAGTACCATGGAATAAACTTTACCAAGGAGGTGGAAGACCTGTACTCAGAAGGCTGCACAACACTGAAGAAAAAAATTAAGGAAGACAAAAATAAATGGAAGTATACACTGTGCTCATAGATTGGAAGAATCAACATCATCAAAATGGAATTAAAGGAAGATGGTGGAGGAGTGAATGAAAGTCACACTGAACTCCTCCAAGGACCAATCTGGAATTCCAATTCAATTGTGGAGAAACCAACCAGAACAAACAATTGAGAAATAGCTAAAGAGAAGCATTGACAGAAGAATAAACTGCAGTACAGCCTGTCTGGTAAGGAGTGAAGTAGAGACTTGAGAAGGCTGGCTGGGTGCCCACAGGTGGCAGTGCTGCATGGATAATTAAGTGGACAGTTGGAACCCCAGAGAAGACTGGAGTATAAACCCTAAGCTGGGGTCTGCATCCTAGAGCACAAGACCCCAAAAAGTATACATATAACCAGCAGCAAAAAGCTGCAGGGTTGCTCTCTGCCAGAGACAGACAGCTAGAGATGCAAAGACCATTTAAAGGGCCAACACACAAATTTTCATTTGCAGCCACCTACCCTGGGCCCTGTCAAAGGCAGGAGCAGAGTGGGCTAGAGACACCTGCAGAGAGATGGGGAATGGAAACCTTGGGGAGAGGACTGAGAGAGTAGCTGCTGGGATCCCAGTCCTGAGTCATCCCCTTGGAGGCAGCAGCCTTTGAGCTCAGGCAGACCATTCCTCTCCAAAGGGCAGTAGCATGAGGGGAAACAATGGCCCCAACTGCAGGAAGGTTTCTGCCCTGGTCCTTTGGTGCATAAGCTTGACTGCTGAGTCCTAGTGACCAGGTGAACAACCAAAGGAGATAGCAAGAGATAGTAGATCCTTGGCAAAAGGGAGACAGAGTGGACTAGAGATACTGGAGAAAGAGGCTATGAGGAGGGAACTAAGAGAGTAGCTGCCTGGATCCTGGTGATGAGCCAACCCCCCCACACAGCAACTATCCTGCTCAGATAGACCACTTCCCTCCAAGCAGCAGCAGCCTGAGGGGAAACAATAGCCCCAACCCCAGGATGGATACAGTCCCACCCTATGGTGTTTAAACCTGACTACTGAGTGCAGAGTGACCAGATTAACAATTGAGGAGACCAGCAGGGATAGCAGATCACTGGTAGTATAGAACAGGCTGCCTAAGGTCAGATATGGTCAACATCTGACATCACCAGAGACAGATCCAGAAAGAAAAAAACAGCAGGTAAATTCAAGAACCACTGTGGTCTTCTTCATGACTTGTGATATATTCTTCCCTGCATAGCTGTATAACATTCATTTCTTGTCCAATGAGTTGGTATGTATTAAGTCACTAGATTTTATACTATAGTATATTTCAATTCACATATTTTGTCTCTCCCTTCTATTAGCCCATTTACCTTCTTCTTTCTTCACAATATTTTCATTTCAAATTTGGTTTTCTATCTAGCTACAACTTGTTTCCATTCCACACCCTTACTATTTTTCCCCTATCCAGACAGTCAGAATGAATTTTCTTGTCAAGTGACACTTCACATCCTTTTGCCCAGCTCTTAAAATACCTGCGTTCTCCCTCCACCTTTAAGAAATTTTGCTAGTTGGCTGGGGGTAGGGTAGTTGTGGTTGTATTGTTTTTCTAATTTTATCTCTAGAGCTTCACTGATTCTGTAACTCTTTTTGTCTCAAATATTAATTTGTCTTTTGTAGCTTGTTCTTTTCCTTTTTCGGCTTTCTTCTATTTCTCTTTCATCTTGCCTTTTTATTTTTCTTTATTGTCATTTTTTTCCTATTTTCTGTTTTCCCTTTCTCATTTACATACCAACTTTTAATTTTTCCTTCTCTTAGCCTGGTTTATGTTCTCCACTCTAAGTATTCCCTCTCCTTCTATCATTTCAAAATCACTTCTCATTTCTCTAAACATCTCTTAGTCTTTTCTTTGTTTCTATTTTCCCTGTTATTCCCATACCAGCTATATTAATTTTAGCTCATTTGTTGTTGATAGTACTGTGTTGGCTCTTTCTCTTCAATTTGGCTTCTATATTTTTATTAATTATTTTCCTTACTTTTACTTTCTCTTTCTCATTTACTTAGTTTTATATTATTTTAATTTCTGTCTAAACCTAATATTATATGCTTCCCTTCTCATATTCCACTCCACAAGTTTCATTCCCTTTCTTATTCATGAGGTAAATTTTACCTTCTTTCTTTCCATTGTTCAACTCCCAACTCTTATTAGGGTTCCTCCTTCTACCCTCTTAAAATCATTTTTCTTTCAGTAGATTACTTCAATTCTGCTCTTTTTTCTCTTAATAATATTAATCTCATTACACCATTATTACTAGTGACTCATTTGTTGTTGATAGTGGGATTGTGGGGAGGAGTTTTATTTGTGGGTGTGGGTTTGTTTCTTCAGCTTTGTGGTTTTGTTCAAGTTGCACCTGCACAATAGCACACAAGACACAGTGGGCAGAGTGAAACCCTCAGTGAAACACCTGGAGGGAGGGACCCATGAAAGAAACACTCAACAACAATCAAAACCCAATTACATCTACAGAACCAGCATAAAAGGCATAAAGGGTATCCCAAGAGCTTCAAGTTCAAGTGATCAGTGAGACTGCACCACTGAACCTCAAGGCCTCCTATCATAGATATCTACACCATAAAGACAGAATGTCAAAACAGCAATTTAAGAAGCAGAAGCAAACAAGAAGAGTCCCACAAATAATGGGAAAACAAAGAAACACCCCCCACCCCCAGTCAAAAGGAAAAGAGGAATCCTCAGAAAGAATGCTAAATGAAATAGGGGCAAGTCAACTATCACAAAATGAGTTCAAAACAATGGTTATAAGCAAGATCAACTAGCTCAGTGCAAATTGACAAAAACTACAGGGAAACTATGAAGAACTTATTGCAAACTATATCAGCATAAAAAAGACATAGAAACAATCAACAACAGCCAAGAGGTAATGAAGAGTATAATTTCTGAGTTAAAGAATATATTTTCTTTCA